GGGGGGGCGGCCGCCCCCCGCCCCACCAAGATTTCCGCCACTGGCTTTTAATGAGTTAACATATATGAGACATGCACAGAAAGTTAGGTCACAGAATCGAAACAAGCCAGACTTCTTGGTTTTTCCTATGATTTTGGCGTAACCGTAATTCATCATCAAAATGCTGACGCCATGGTCCTATAGCCAGTGCGCTTATGAGAGGCATCCCCCCCTCCCCCGATAATATTCGCAGGGTGTCCATCCTTTGGTGAAGGTGAAATTCAAGGACTTTTCCAGGACTTTCACGGCCCATTTTCAGTAAATTCAAAAAATCTTTGAAAATGGCACGGATTTTGCCGTAAATAATTCACTGTATTCAGTAGTTTTAATCAAAATCACTAATGTTGGCACAGCTGGAGGTTAAGGAAATTAATTCCAGGACTTTCAATCATAAGCGTACTGGCAAGGACCATGATGGCATCAGCTTTTTTCGTAGCAGCAGTTATGCTTTTTTAGCTGAGTCGACCTTCTGTGTGTCTTTATTCTGAGTCGACCTTTTGTGTGTCTTTATGTCCAACACTAGTGATGAGCGATACCAGGATTTTTAATTCGATACAGATACTTTTAAGAGATACCTATTTCGATACCAAAACAAACACAGAATTTCAATTTTCGATACCGGAAATGAGCACTTAAATTCCCAGTATCGGCTACATTCGATACCTGCCGGTCACCAGAAAAACATTTGACATTACTGTATGTAACCTAAATAAAGCTATAAGTAAACCAAAAGCCCGAAAGTTAATAAATATTTTCTATACATGATTTGGCGCACAACATTTGGAATATTAAGAGTTATTTTAGTGGTTCATTAAGTCTTATTCAACCAAGAAGTGAAATAAAACAAGTCGTTTAATTTAAAAAAGGGTGCAAGTATCGAACGATACCACGTCAGTAATCGATACCGCTGTTTGTGGTATCGCTGGTATCGAATACAGAGTACTCGGTATCGCCCATCACTATCCAACACTTTTCCCTTTCACAGGTAAACTCATCGGATGTTAGATGGAGTAAATTCCAGGGTGCATTTTAAGTAGCCTACGCCAAAGATTTTCGTCGTGAGTTTGGCAAATTACAATACAATCTATAGTTAATATTGGCGTATCTTCGGCGTAGACTTTTAAGGAATGCACCCTGGAGTAAATTAGCAATACAGGAAGTATCAGGACACATTGTGGATTAACAAACCTGATTCAGTCATTCTTGGATATATTGGAGCATTGATTTTAATATCTTTTGTAAAAGAAAAAAAGAGGATCATTGTTATATTAAAATAACCTTTGAAAATACAACACATTTTTATAAGCTAGTCTTTATAATTGATCAAATATTGTAATTATATTAAATATTGAACACATATATTGAGCATAAATCGTTGTCGATTTACTGATTGAAAGTGAGAATATATTACTCACCGATAAAATTCTACACAGAATACAGATTGCAAGATACAAGAAGTTTGATTTATAGAAATATTTTCAAAATAAAAACAAAGAATAATTCATGGACGATTATACGCGATTCGCACGTTCGACGAATCATCGGAAGCTGCCGGAAAAAGCCGATTTACACTCAAAATTCGGTACACGCGTAAAAATTGAGAAAATCAACAACTTGTTCCAAGTTGATATCGACAGGCGTGAAGAAGGTTGTGCGGCCCACTATGAACAGTATTGTCAACATGTTGTTACAGCATTGTTCAACTGTAACAACTTGGAACAACATGGTTGACAACTTGTTCATAGTTGGCCGCACAGCATTGTTCACGCCTGTCGATATCAACTTGCAACAACCTGTGCGTTTTTAGGCGTGCAATCGTTCCATGTTTCGCGCACCAATATAGTAAACGTTATGTAATGGATATTATAGTGTACTGAAAAGTTCACTAGATACCTCCATACCATATAACACACTCTAACCCCAACCTTAAACCTAACCCTAACCCCTAACCCTAACCCCTAAACTTAATACCTAACCCCTAACCCTAACCTATATTGGTGCGCGAACCATGGAATAAAATTCACTGAGCTATAACTCTATTACTGGAGAAAGTGCTAGCTCCGCATGAAAAAACTCAGTGCCTACACACGTAAAAATCTCACAACTTGTCAACAAGATGTGTTCGCAACAGGCTTGTAGCAAGCTTGTCAACAAGTTGTAACAATGCTGTTATTTCATCAAGTTGCTACAAGGCTGTCACTCACAACTTGTTGACAAATTGTTGAATTGCAGGACGATAACAAATTGTTGGTCACTGGAACAACTTGTAGCAAGTCTGTTGAGCTCAACAACCTTGTAGCAAGTTGTCAACAAGCTGGGAACAAGCAGTGCGAACACATCCTGTTGACAAGTTGTTGGAACAGCATTGCTACATGTCTGCTGCAGGTTTGTTACAACTTGTGCGTTTTTACGTGTGTAATGAGCTACACACGTAGAAATCTCACATCTTGTAGCAAGTCTGCCAACAAGCCGTCAACAAGTTGTGTTCGCACTGCTTGTCCCAAGTTGTGATAAGTATGGATCAACTTGTTAACAACTTGTAACAACCTTGTTGATATTATCAGACTTGTTGCAAGGTTGTTGTTCCAACAAGTCCGATACAGTCATCAGCTCAGTTGTTCCCAGTTGTTGTAACAAGTCCAGAACAAGCTGTTATCACCTTGTAACAAGCCTGATGGCATTATCAGACTTGTTACGTTACAAGGTTGTTCAATGTTATGACGTTGACGATCCACGAACATGGAAATCGGTTTGCTTAAAATGCAACCAAGCTCGCGACCTGACAAGGCCGATAACGTGTTGTTTTTAGATTTAGTTTTCAGAAGTACCTTTTCACATTGGTATCTATGGGGCCTATTCAGGGTTTTGCTGAAGGTTTAGGATTGTGAGGGTTTCAAACGTCTTCTGACTCAGTCAGCTTCCAAAAATGGAAGTGGTTCTGCGGGTCGCAATGTGAAAAGTTGCATCTGATAGTTCGTTAGTAATTGATTCTTTCTATGGCGTATATACTATAGTGTATTTGTCTAACATTTAGGGATCGCAGTAATTGGCGCAAGCTGTTGCGATTGCCCTGCCAGTTTTTTGTGTTAACGTTGTTTAAATCTGGCAAAGTTAATAAATAAATAAATAACTGACAAATCTGATACAGTCATAAGATAACAGGAATGTTACAAGGTTGACCACACAAGGTTGTAACAATATTAGTATATCAACGACCATAACTTGTCGGCAGCTTGCGAACAGATTCGTAACAACTTGTTTACAGACGCGTAACAAATCGTGCAATCGTGTCTCATCTTCATTTAATATTCTTAATCATCGTGGTCGCACGTGCATAAATTGACATCAACTCAGATAAAAACATAACCGACAATGATCACTTCTGTTCAACATGATTTCCAGACCATGATATCTCGATAATAGTAGACTATTGTGAAATTAAAATTGCGTGGAATGGGCGAAATGAAATGGAACGAATTTAACTGAGATGTCTTTATCACGCGAATTTACTACACCTGAGCTGTCTGTTAGCTATAGAGTATATAAGCTATACTGCCACGCCACCTGTTCAGTTTCGGCGTGCTATTGAAAAGCTACACAGTCGCCGAATATATATGAAAGAGAAAAATAAACTCACGGCGGTATACAGACCACAAAAACTAAATGATTGATCGTAAAAATGGATATCAGTCATAGCTGATGGGAACATCACAACATAAAATATACATTAATATTAATAATTTCAAGCATTGTCAAGTATAGGCGTTGCTGACGTATGCGGTTATATCCTTCAAGTATACGCGTCTCATATAATGTAGCCACGTTTTACTGTGTATGGATATTAATCAGTAACAAACTTAATATTCTCAAATTGCCGGCTATTGATTCTATACAATTTGTAACATCGTCAATAAAGGAACAATATAATCTGTAGAATACAATGTATTTGACGTAGGATAATGTTATTTTTAAAGAAATGGAACAACACGACGAAACAGTGGACGCTCTTAGAATAATATAACAGGTTTGTTAAATAATGCCACCGGAAGTGTTATACAATTTAATGTTTTGTCGTTTATTGCCGATAACCCAACAGTTAACAGTTTAAATTAGTACATTGTTTAACTGCATTGGTAAAACTTTGGTGAGAATTAAATTATGAGAATTTAAGCAGAGTTAGGATCGGTTAAAGTCATCGTTTATTTGTACAGTTACTTATTTTGCATATACGTCTTGTAATTCATGAGTCATATTTATAAGTGACGCAAATATAAAACTTTCTTTATCACGCTAACTAATATTTTCGGTACTGTTGCAATAATTGACAAAAAAAAACACAGTTAATTTAAAAGATATTGTAGTCTGTGTAGAGTCAAGTAGCTATATATATATAGGTTAGAAATAGATTACAATTTTTCAATTTAATTATTTTCCCCTTACAAAGAAGGTATATAAGCAATATTGGTTCACCGAACTGAGCTGTTTCCCGTCATTTGTGATGTTTATAAATATTAAACGCAGTGTCTGATCAACGAAGAATTGCGGTTACCCCCTTAGATTTTGTAACAAAGAACAGTTTTAATTTGTCTTATAGACAACGATGTTTGCAGTATGATTCGAATAGGGTATATATAGCTACTGTCCTAGCGTATATACAGTTCGTCCTAGAAAAGACGAATGATTATGGATTTAGGGAAATATATGATAATCAGTTTATAACTTCTCAATACTTTCTTTCTTAACAGCTAGCACCATTCCCTATTATATTATCTATACAATATACAGAACTGAAAATAACTGAAAAGAAAAACTACGAAACCTATAATATGAACAAGCTTTCGTTGGCAGGGATACAACTACCTGAAAATATATAAGGAGAATTTCGACGTTTCGAGCGAAGGCTCTTCGTCTGGAGTTACTCAATATGCATGAAACCTATATAGCTTCCTATAGTATAGAGGCTTAAGCCCTTCCCTTGTCAAACGTGGATGAGAGTTGATAAGAGTTCATGGCAGTTTGCATGGTTGTTTTTTCAGTAGTCAACTGTCATGTCCCGCTCAAACGAGAACAAGACTGCACGAGAAAGTGATGAGAGTTGAGAAGCGAGAGTTTGCATGACAGTTTTCGAACTCTCATGTCCCGGCACTCTCGATCATTTCAGTCCCCGAACTCTCATGTCATGTCAAACGAGAATCGAGAACAAGAGTTGCATGAGAGTTGTATGAGAGTTGAGAAGCGAGAGTTTGCATGAGAGTTTTCTCAACTCTCATGTCCCGATCAAACGAGAAGAAGAGTTGCCTGAGAGTTGAGAAGCGAGAGTTTGCATGAGAGTTTTCTCAACTCTCATGTCCCGGTCAAACGAGAACAAGAGTTGCACGAGAGTTGATGAGAGTTAATTGGCTATTCCATGAGTATTGACTTCTAGATATTACCGATTAGACGAGCAAAAACTCAGTCATCAACTGTTATTGGAATTTAAAGCAGCTGAAAGTTGATGAGACGGTTTACAAGAGTCGATGAAAGTTTGTGATCAAACACGAACGAGAGGTACAAGTCTCATCAACTCTCATCCTCGCCGCCTTTTGACCAAGACATTGTTTACTAAGTGTTATAAGTTAGTAAAACTATAACTGAATCCGTTTCCAGCAATTTTTGAATCTTGTGGCTCCTCTTGTCTTTTCTCAAATACTGAATTCATAATGGAGCATTTCTAGTATTCGGAGTATGTTTTATATTTTATTTATAGAACTATAGTAAATACTATAAACTATAGTCCACATTGGGTTTTCTTTTTCGTTATTAATTTAATGATGTGATCTAAGTTGTCCTTATAATAATTCGTTTCTTTCATTCTAGCCGCTAAAATCATTCGGTGCATGTAGAATCTCTTATAAATACTCAGCATTCCTCGATAGATAGCCTACATTCCACCGCAATATGCATAGTAGTCTAGGACCTGTATATGAGTTTGTATGCATTTCATTTAGGACAGATAATCTCAACTGTTTTAGGGTAAGTTGACCATGACGGTCAACATGGTAATGCTGCCCGAACCCCAATCCGGGGCGAAACGTCCGAAATTGACCACACCCAAAAACGACGCTTTCGCCATACTGCTATCTACCAAACCATAAAAGCTTTGGCTATTCTGAGGTGCTTATATGGTTCAGAGATGGTACTTTTGGGGGTGGTCATTGGTAAGTGTGAAATGCCGAGCACTAATATTTCACAAGAAAATGGCCATGCAATAATCATAGTTAAACGTCAATTTGTGGCTTGCAAATTCAGATAAACAGCAGTGGACTTACATTACCTTTTTCCCTAAATCTTTTTGATAGAAACATAAATGGTACTTATTTAAATATATTATCACTGGTTTGGTGTAAAATAGTTAATATTTTCTGACCGAAATAATAATTTGAAATGTGCCTACTCCGCTGTTTATCGGCGATCTCGTCGACATCCTACAAAAAATGTAAATCATCTCAGACATAATGGTATCAAGAACATTTTAAACAAGTTTCAACTTGGTTTCAAGTAGATCATACCTGTTTAACCATCGACAAGGTAAAACCACAACTTTGTCCAAATTCGGCGCCATTTTGTCATCCCATGTCGCTTGTTAACAATTCAGCCTTGTTACTCTTCCATCCAAGCCATTTCCATTCCACTAATAATAAATTTAACCCTTTATAACAGGAGGAACTAAAAAATCTAAACAAAATACAAGAAATACGCCATTTTATCACCCTGTAAAATGTTGTTTACGAGTCCTTCAAAACATTCCGTACAAATCTCGCGTGGTTTAGCAACAGGGACGTGACAGGGGGGGTAGAGACTTGAAAAGTGAAAGGAAAGCCCACACAGTATGGTAAAACCAACAATCAACATTTAATTTGTATGACTTTTTCATATTAATAAATAATAATATGTATATATTTGTCGCTACAAGAAATAAACAAACATTTGTATGATTGTATTTAGCTTTTAGTCTATTTCACGCAGCCTTCTTCTATCTTCGTGAAATAATTCACCCCCTCCTGTCACGTCCCTGTTACTTTGTCACGCGATATTTGTCCGGAATGTTTTGAAAGACTCGTGAGCAAAATTTTACATGGTGATAAAATGGCGTATTTCTTATATTTTGTTTAGATTTTTAGTTTCCTCCTGTTATAAAGGGTTAAATTTATTATTAGTGGAATGGAAATGGCTTGGATGGAAGAGTAACAAGGCTGAATTGCTAACAAGCGACATGGGATGACAAAATGGCGCCGAATTTGGACAAAGTTGTGGATTTACCTTGTCGATGGTTAAACAGGTATGATCTACTGGAAACCAAGTTGAAACTTGTTTAAAATGTTCTTGATACCATTATGTCTGAGATGATTTACATTTTTTGTAGGATGTCGACGAGATCGCCGATAAACAGCGAAGTAAAGTGGAGAACTTGGCCAAATACGTCCATTTGCAGGAGGTAGGCACATTTCAAATTATTATTTCGGTCAGAAAATATTAACTATTTTACACCAAACCAGTGATAATATATTTAAATAAGTACCATTTATGTTTCTATCAAAACGATTTAGGGAAAAAGGTAATGTAAGTCCACTGCTGTTCATCTGAATTTGCAAGCCACAAATTGACGTTTAACTATGATCATTGCATGGCCATTTTCTTGCGAAATATTAGTGCTTGGCATTTCACACTTACCAAAGACCACCCCCAAAAGTACCATCTCTGAACCATATAAGCACCTCAGAATAGCCAAAGCTTTTATGGTTTGGTAGATAGCAGTATGGCGAAAGCGTCGTTTTTGGGTGTGGTCAGTTTCGGACGTTTCGCCCCGGATTGGGGTTCGGGCAGCGTTACCATGTTGACCGTCATGGTCAACTTACCCTAAAACAGTTGAGATTATCTGTCCTAAATGAAATGCATACAAACTCATATACAGGTCCTAGACTATAGCCTGCTCGCAGGCCGTTTGTCAGGCAGAGACTGCGAGGTATATATAGAGCCTGTGAGCAGGCTACAATATGCAATGCAGTTTAATTTTATGATCGTGACGGTCAATCAATGTTAATCAGTGCTAATATATGCCGTTACTTTGTCAACTGTCAAATGGCATGACTGGCAAAGATTTCTTTTAGAAATAATTGCTACAATTACAAACATTAACTTAGAATAGTGATCTTTACTATCTAAGAAAAGTTAAGTGAAAAATATATTAACTCATTAAGTTACATTGTGCCCCAATGTGCCCTATACTTTATTATTTAATTTTACTCTGTCTATAACGCCAGAAGCTTTTATACTCATCAAGGGAAGAGCACTGGCGTACTTGGCGTTCAATGGTTTAATTAGCGGCCAATTAACAATATATTAACATTCTTTAGTCTTTGGTGGACTTAATTATTTGCCCATACAAACCAGCTGCACCTCAAGTTTTATTCAGTATTTGTTTTAGAAAAACAATACACACAATATATAATAAAGAGCTCAGATCATTCGACAGATTTCGAAATATTAAAGTGATATGCGAAACTTCAAATCTGAGATCAATGGTAGATTTTTCTATTTTCTTTGGGATTATTATCCAGGAACAAAGTGTTTCATCATCACGGCTATGACGTCATCATCTCCCACTCACGTCTCGCGTGCTACGCACATAGATATCTTATATACACTAGATAGCGCATCTCTTTTAGTAAAATTGAAGCCAAAAATATTCCAGCGGTTACCGCCATTTGAATAGATGGCGGCCATGTTGGTCGTTCCCACTTGCTAATAAACGCTTAAAAACAACAATAACTTTCATCATTTGAATAGTTTAAAAACGTATTTGCAACAGGATTAACGTAATGTTTAAGTTCCCTGTTTAAGAAATAGAGAACATACGAATCTTCTCATTTCATGGGAACGACCTGAGACTGCAATCACGGCTTCAATATTTGAATTGCAGAATAATTAGATGCACTATCTAGTGTATATAAGATATCTATGGCTACGCAGAACAGTAATACTTTTCAAATCCCTTATTTAAACTGGCTAATCGTATTTGTTTTAACTTTAAGATGAGACAATATTAATTAGACCTGCCCAGGCCATCAGCAGTTTATGTAAATAGAGGTTTATATACGGTAGTTTATACCGTTTATTGGTCGAAACTGGAGCAGTCATTAGAGCTAGCGCGTGGGAACGCTCTATAATGAAAGTCGTGGGTTTTCTCCTGGTGCCCTGTTTCCACCCACAAGCCAACATTCCCATGTAAAGTAGTTTACACCCCAAAAGAACATTCTAGTTTCTCGCCCTGTTCCCTGGCAATAAAAACGCCCTAGCACTGAAGATGGTTGAAACTACACAAGCCCCCGTAAAGCTGTAGTACAGAGGTTCTCTGAACACAAGTGCATGTGACAGTTTGATATAAGAGCACTTGAGTTATGCTTACATGTTTATCATCGTTACAAATTCGAGAATGGTATTAAAGAATGTATACTATGTATCATCATTTAATATATGAAAAACAATTGTCAATAATCTAATTTAGTTTGGCCGAAGAGTAAAATATCTACGATGCGTTAGTCTAGCAGGGAATACTTGAACAGAATTGCAGTAATTTAAAGGCGTCAGGTTTGAGGGCAGTCTGGGTTATGGTAATGATCATGAAGACCGGTTCTTATATCCAACAAACTAGAAGCGCTCTTCTCACGTTTGAGGAAAAGTTATATTAATGCACGTGCATTGTGCAAGGCATAAAAGGCATGTATTTGTGCAAGAAGCGATTTAGTCACCGAAGAGCACCACAGCATACCATACCATACCATACCATGCGACACCATATACCATACCATACCATTACCATACCATACCATACCTTCTCACACCGTATACCATGTCGCACCATACCACACCATTCCATAACATACCAACCATAGCAATGGAGATTTAGACAATTTTAATAAGTGCACAAATAAAGTACATGTCCGGGGTATGTTCTAGTTAATTCAATTGAATGATTTTTATCCTTCAAACAAGGTAATAAACTATTGTAACTATGGCATGCATAAAAATGTCGCAATTAAGAGCCAAATAAGAGCCAAAAGGATTGACGTGTTGGACAATTATATAATTTATATTGTGTTTACGGAGTCTTAAAAGTGCTATATTGCGCGAAACAGCCAAATTAATTCAAATTAACAAACCCACACCCGAGTAATCCGGTGAATACCATTTCTGGCCCTTGTAGTGTCGATTGACGCACCGTCTGTCGGAGAAAATCCAAATACAATGAAAAACAATGCCATTGAGAATTCTATCTAAATCGTAATCACATAATTCCTTTAGCTTTAAACTCGAAATGTTGAGAGGTTTTGAGAGTATAGAGGTCATTACCGAAAATACGTTATTTTTCGTTTCAGGTTTGAAACATCAACGGGGTAACCTTAGAATTTTGGCAACAGAAGAATACATTAACATCGGGATTGTTTGCTCTCTTTTATTATGGTAATGTTTAAGTGCTCATATTTGTGTGGGAGGGCTGAAACTTGAGAACGACCTTATTATGTATTTGCATGTAACTGAAACCGATTCTATATATTCTTCAATATAGTCTTCAAAAAGGTGGAAAAGGTCATCAAGCTTTGCCATGTCGGGGCCGTCTATCGCGTGGAGTAACGTGGATTACAAGCTGACGGATTTTATAAAGAAAAGCCCACCACCGCAAGTCGTCAAAGTCAAGAAAGATGCCGGTATATCGGCTGCGTTTAAGAGCAACATTGAACTGATACTTCACGAGTCGAAGGCGCTCAAAAAGGTCGAAGCGTGTGTCGTGTCAGAAGGCAAGACATTCGTACTTCCCTACGACTGCCCGGCAAAGGTGCATCAATTAACTAAAGCGGAGGAATATAGTACCTTAGGTGATCTACGGAAGGCATTGCCAACGTGTCGTTTCTTTTTAGTAACAAGCAAAGCAAATGATGAACAATTACAAGACATTAAACTGGGTGAGGTGTTGACTATCGTATTTAAGAAAACTCTCAGCGGCACTGATGTATTCACATGTGAAAGAAAGAAACTTGGGCTTAAGATTGAAATCAAAGCGAATGCAAAGGGGGGCTTTGCTCCAATGGGAACTGTAGCAGAACGGAAGATTAGTGATTTTGTTCGCCATTATTCGACCTTTCCTGTAGGCATTGCACTTACCGAATCGACCTTGACAAATAAGGCATTCGCGTCACTTAATGATCTTATATCGCAATCGAAAAGTGGATTAATAAGGCTGACAAGGCTTTTCACAGTTGATACGGTTATTGCCTCGAGTCTTGGAAAGAAAAAAACTGTCTATTCAATTCCGAAAGATCTGGGCCTTACAGTGACCGCGTCGAAGGCTTTGTTGCTTGAAGACAGTGAACATCAGGAATTTTGTAGGAAATTACACGGGGATGTGGACAAGTCTTCTATCGACACGCATTTGACTTTAGCGGTATCGTTCGGTAACACCGAAATCGAGGTGTTACAGTGGAGTTATGGCGACGAAAGCGCCTACGAGGAAGTGGTGCCTCTTGCGACCGGGAAAGCAAAGAATGCGAAGGTAAATGGTGAATTACCAAAGCGTGACGGAGCTGTCAAAGACCAAGTGAGAAAGATTAGTAGCTCGGACACAACCAAAGATGCTCCAGGCAAGGAAAAGGAAACGAAAGAGAAGGTTAAGGAATCGAAGGAGAAGAATAAAGATAAGGAAAAAACTAAGGAGAAGGAGAAACCTAAAGATAAGCAAAAGGTAAGAATTCAGTTTATGAGGATGAGGTTCAGATTTTCAGTAATTGAGGTATACTTACACCCTAACACCGAAGATGTACTTTTACTAAGTACTATGCATGCAGCGGATGGTATATTGGCAACCTGGGTTTTATATATAAGTGACCGTATCACGCAGCAGACCATAGTCATAATTGACAAGTATATATACAGGTTATACGTGGGCTTCACTTTAAGGTTGGTTTACAGTATCAAAATTTTGCCAAGATTTGTAAGAAATGTTCGAGGAAACGACTCATTGTTTAACACGACGTCAGTTCCCTAAACTAGTAACTCACTAGTAACTCCAGACGAAGGCGGAAGGGCCTTCGCTCGAATCGTCGAAATGCTCCTTTATGCTAGCCTGCCTCGCAGACGTCCTTATGGCTCACATCCTTTATGCCTAAAGTACCAACGAAACGCTACTGGTGAGGTCAGCGTGTTAATATTATATTGACACAACCTACATTGGCACAGACAGCTCAAGAAGGACTAATTGCGTGTCGATTAGCCCGTGTCGACAGCTCAAGAAGGACTAATTGCGTGTCGATTAGCAAGGAAGGACTAATTGCGTGTCGATTAGCCCGCTAGCCGTGCCCGAATTTGTGTTTCGAAACTGCGGGATCGGCAAGCATGCTACATTCATCAATCATCATAAATCGTTTTAAAACAATTTTAGTCTAGGTGTGAAGTATATTTTACATAATTAATTACTCAGCTGAATATAAACACGATGGTCTTTATTATTGCTTATTTCTGTGGTTATGGTACTAGTAACTCAACTAAAAACTACATTTGCTTAAACTGAATATCTCCATCAGTTCTAAACGTTTGTTATGAATAAAGTTATTATTACTATTATATTATATACACATATATTGAAAATATCGTAAATCAATTATAGTCTTTACAGAGTTATTAAAACACGACTTTGCAACTGTAATAAATATATCTGAGCCGCGGTTAAGCTGTATGAAATAAATAAACAAACACCATATACGAGTCGAATAACGTAATAATGCGGTACTTTTAAAAGCCGAGGATTTGCACTTCTACACAACAGGCAAAATTCAAAACAATTTAACTAGTTGGAATGACAAATCTAATTTATTATTATTAAAACATTACAATTGCATTGCAATTGCATTGGTTATTAAAACATCACAATTGCATTGCTGTCATGCCATACGCTACCATTATCAGTTTGTTTTCAATAATTTTTCAGCTATTTAGTAAATTTTTACCTGTGGCAATAAGCAATAAGCTTTGTATAAAGGCTAAAATATACATAATTATACGACGATTATATAATTTTTGCATTTTTTTAAACAAAGCCAAAGCCAAGTAAAAAAAAAATATGAAATAGTAGCTTCTCGTCCGAATTTTGAAAAAAAAAGGAGAATGCGGGCGCTTTTTTTTGTTAAACTTTCAGTCAAATATTGCTCTTAAAGTTTACCAAACCGAACTATGCGGTTTATGACGAAAGGAGCAAAATGGCCGAAATATACTAAGTGGAAATTCTTTGAAAGGCTCGAATATAAAACATTAAAAAAAAGAAAAATCCATGCGGCAGGGAAAAAGGATGCGGGCGGGGACGAGAAACAATTTTTTTTTTTTACTTGGCCCAAACTGCCAAAGGTTTTATGTTTTCTTATTATTTTGCATTTGCCATTACCCTGGCCCAGAGGGTTTTTTAGGTTTGGCGAACGCGAAATGCGAGAAAACGCGCGAAGAAAACGGAAAAACCTCTGGTGAATTTGTTAGCGATTCCTGGCACAGAATAAGGCACACAGAAGGGCCACACCCTGGCCGCCATCTTCCTAGCCAGTCGATTACATTTTCTGGCCAATAAACGCGCTGTATTGGCTGAAGGCCCCGCCTTCTGGCCAGTCAATTGCACATTTTTGCATAGAAAAATGGTGACACGTTGCACCGCTGAGTGGCCCTTCTCGTACTGATCTTTATTCTGTGATTCCTGGTTCGGATAAGGAATGCAAAAAATGTATAATGGCTTAATGCATCATATTCTAAAAATATTATCCAATCATTATCCTTGACGCCAGGCCGTCCAGACAGGGTTTTATCGCATGTATACTGTTCATTGCCATGGATACCAGATTGACATGCAACTTGTCAACAGGCTGGGACTGACAAGCGAACATATCCTGTTGACAAGTTGTTGGAACAGCATTGTTACAAGTCTGCTGCAGTTTGTTACAACTTGTGCGTTTTTACGTGCGTAGGCAAAGTTAATAAGAATGCGGAAAAACACAACATGAAATATCATAGGAGGCCCAATAGTTAATTGTAATGGGCACAAAAAAAGACTAAAACATAATTAGTTGAATATAGGCACAAAAAAACTAAATAACATCAAAACACACACACAAAAATATATATCAAAACTAAAACGGTTTATAATTCAATAAAAATTCATTGTGTTACCGTGAAAATATTCAGGCAACTGCTTTTGTGCCACAATCGTTGTGAATGCAAACTTGCAGTGCGATTGAGCTGATCGCATGGTTTAATAAACACCTATGGCTACCATAAACAGTTGCTAGAAGTAAAATATTTTCACGGTATTATATACAAAATATTACAAAAATATTTTAAACCATTTTAGTCTTTTTTTGTGTTTATTACAACTAATAAACTATTGAATATTGGGCTTCCTATGGAAAAATCAGTTGATTGTATTTTAAAGACATATATCTGCCCTACAGGAAATTCAAGTATTATAGGAATGTTTTCAGAAACTAGTAATTAGTTCGAGTAAAACGAGTTCATGCTGTGATTTAAGCTGTAGTGTGGTGTAAGGTCTACGTCGACAAATATCTTTTTTTTTAAATATATCAAATATTCATTGTCAGATATTGCATTTTTAAAAATATAGAATAAGCTGAAAATATCGATTTATGTTCAATATTTTCGATACTGAACGAACAACATCTATAAGGAGCACTAAAAGTTGATACATTTTATCGTGTATTAGTTCAATCGAAAGACGCTTGGATATACAAAAGCGTCTATAGATTGAAATTAAAACTCAATTTGCACTTCTTAAAATACAATAAATGTGAAAGTGTGATTCATAGAGAGAGTACTTCATAATAGTGTGAATAGAGTAATTCATGAAGTACTCTATTCACAATAAAGTGTGAATATAGTTCTTCATTCTTTTGTACATCGAGTTTCTGTTTTGATATATTATAATATTATCGTTATTTTTTCCGCAATCGGTTAATTTGAATTCCAATATTCTGTAACGCCACAGCGTGCTGTGAATTGCTGAGACTTTTATTATAAAAACAGTGGGAATTCGAATTCCCATATATATATATATATATATATATATATATATATATATATATATATATATATATATATATATATATATATATATATATATATATATATATATATATAAAACTTTCTGCATCACGGGGGGTGTCGGAGGAAGTTTAGGACGGCAGAAACAGGTCTTCCGGGAGCGGGAGTTTCGACCAGTTAATGGATAAGTTTCTCGATTATATACACACGTAGAAACACACAAGTTGCAACAAACCTGCAGCAGACTTGTAGCAATGCTGTTCCAACAACTTGTCAACAGGATGTGTTCGCACTGCTTGTTCCCAGCTTGTTGACAAGTTGTCAACGGTTTATTGACAACTCGCTACAAGGTTGTTGAGCTCAACAGACTTGTTACAAGTTGTTCCAACAACTTGTTATCGTCCTGCAATTCAACAATTTGTCAACAAGTTGCGAGTGACAACCTTGTAGCAACTTGATAAAATAACAGCATTGTTACAACTTGTTGGCAAGCTTGCTACAAGCCTGTTGCGAACACATCTTGTTGACAAGTTGTGAGATTTTTACGAACGCATCTACACATGCACGCAAAAAATCTCACATCATGTATAGCAAGTCTGCCAACACGCCATCAACAAGTTGTGTTCGCACTGCTTGTCCCAAGTATGGAACAAGCTGTTAACAACTTGTAACAACCTTGTTGATATTATCAGACTTGTTGCAAGGTTGTTCGTACATGCAGTCATGAATAAAATAAGAATATTGTTACAACCTTGTGTGTGTCAACCTTGCAACATTCTTATTATATCATAATTGTATCAGACTTGTCAGAACAACTTTGTAATAAGTCTGATAATGCCATCAAGCTTGTTGCAAGTTGTTAGCAGCTTGTTCCAAAGTTGTTACAACAATTCAGAATAAATAAAAGTCATTTCTTCTTATTCATCGAAGGATAAAAAGACGAAAGAAGTGAAAGCAGAGAAGGTAAAGGTGGAGAAGGTAAAGGTGGAGAAGTCAAAATCGAACGACAAAACAAAAACCGAGACAAAGACATCATCAAGCAAGCAGGAAGATCCCCCCGAGGACCCGGTGGAGGACGATGCAGGTTACCTGGTCCCAGCAGAGTTGTTGAGAGCTCAGAGAGAAGTCTCTGCGGAAGATAAGGTCGGAGAAGGCAAGGAGAGGAGCTCCATTGGTATCTCAATAGGTAAGACCATTGTTTGGAATATTGAGTTTATTAGCCTTTTGCCAAAAGAGATCACAGTGCATTCCGGGATCGTTTGGAGGGACAAAATATATGGTATAGGCGTCAAATATGTGAAAGAGTAGAAGTATCTACTATCGGTGTTCAGGGCTGCAAATAAATATTTGACTTGACAGGACATTTGTCCAATCACTTTTAATTTTGGTCCGACATAACTTGAATTTGGTCGGACAAAAACCAACACCACTAAATTTGGTCGGACATATACATATAGTCACAAGATATATATAAGTCACAAGACAAGTATGTATAGTCATTCCGGCGCAAGTAAAACGCTAGAATGCCTCGTAAATTTTATTGCAAAATGCAAATTGAGTGAATTTGCAATCGGATTTTGTCACAGCAAAAAATGTATGTGACAATTGTTTTTTGTGATCGGACCAATATTGCCAAATTTAGTCGGACATTGTCCGATGTCCGACAGTAAATTGCAGCCCTGGGTGTTTTTAAAATCGAGGGGTAAATTACTCTGAAAAAAGCGTACGAAGATTTTTGGGATTAAAAAATCCCGGTAATTTTTCTCGGGATTCTCGGATTTTTTCCCCAAATTTAAGGGATTTTGGGATTTTTTCTGCTGATTTTTTCGAAATATTTTTCCTTATTTTTTTCGCCGAACTTTTTCCGACTTTTTTTTCGACATATATAATCCGTCGAATTATTTTTAAAACGAAGTAAATCAACGAAGGGCATTTTCACAACAATTCACGATTTAAATGTTTAAGTTGATGGGATTTCTCAATATTGCAATAATTTTGAGGATTTTATTGAGCTTTTTCTTTTATGCATTTTTTAGAGATTTCTTGGGATTTTGGGATTCTGGGATTTAGTAAGATTTTGGGATTTTTCCAAAGATTTTTTTTTAGATTTTTGATGAAGTGTACGAAGATTTTCAGAATAATTTACCCCTCGTTTAAAAGACTAAGTCAGTTTCCTCAAACACTTCTTACAAATCTTTTAAAACTTATAATTTATCTATGCAAAAGTTCTACTGTGACCACAGAAACTTTGATCAGGTCTAAACTAGGCTTTATACTACTGGCCAATAATTAAAGGGAGGCCCTTTATCGACACCCACGTAAAACTTAGGATAAAATCCTACTCTGCGAAAATATTGATGGCAATATGGCCAGCGGAAGGGAGAGTTACTTCCAGGACGTCATTATTTCGTGAAAGGACGTGATATATATTGGACTGGGCGATGCATAAACGCCAGCGCAAGATGTACATGTTAATATGTTATATAAGTCAATGTCCTTGTAGGTCAACTACGTATACGACAATTATGTGGACACCACTTTAATAGCTGAAAACTAAAATATATATGACTGTTGCACACCTTGGCATGTTTGGGAACCCCTTGCACCCCGTGCTATGTTGATTTTGATGATGTATTTCACAAAGCTTTATATACCTTGACCAATGTGTTAGCATTTCAACATTGAAGGGGGGGGCTGCTAAATGCTATTTTGGGGGAGTGAATGTGATAGGGCAAAGCATGTATTTTCATTTTCAAACGCGCTGTCCCGCACAATAGTGAAATCTGTATACTATGTGGAAATGCTCATTGCATCACTAGATTCATATTGTAAATCACGCTATTTCCATAGTATCCATGGCAAACAGTACGGAAGTGGAATTTTTACACAAACTCCATCTAAAACCCATGCTATATCTGACCAAACAAACGCAATATTAAACGAACGTAAAAGAGAGAGTTTCTATTTAACTAGTCCTTGGCAATATGTTCTTTGTGACATTGTAAGCATACCACAAGGTGACTTTTATGCATTTTTTACTCTGTTTTCAAAAACGTGTGAGCGAGATAAAAAAAAGGTGATTTTGTGCCCATGCCACTCAGTATACTTGGAGAAATGCGTGAGGTCCCCACATAAATAAGACATTACGCAACGTGATATAACACAAAATAGGACACACTCGCAGATTATAACACCTAATTTCTTTTTGGTCCTTCAGTATTTCGGCTATATCCATCAAAAATTAAATGAGATTAATAAAAGTTTAAATTCGTGGTGTCATGCATGTTATTTAAAAAGATGACTAAGCCAGTCTCTGTCTGATAACTTTCTAGCTTTGAATAACTGAATTAATCTCTTTATCTATAATCTTGTTCTATACGAGTGTTATGACGTGTGTCATCAATTTTAAAAGCGCCACTAATCCCAAATATAATTCTTGGCATGTTTAATGTTTGGTGATTCAAGAAAGAAATGATATATATATTTCTATAGTAAAAAACCTCATCTTGATCAACTTTTTTACTGCCAAAGTTGACGATGTTGTCATTACATGAATTACAAATTGGTTATCCTTTATTTTATACCCAATGACATCATATCTGGAAACTTTGACAGTGAAAAAGTTGATCATGCGATGAGGTTTTTTACTATAAAGATATATTACATTTCTTCTCAGAATGACCCAAGTATTACACGTATACCAAAGATCATTACCAAAGATTTAGGGTCACTGGCAGTTTACCCAATCAATCTGGAAAAATTCTCCTTCACTTGTAAATGATGTTGTGTTAGAGCGAAATATACAAATAAAAGCGCTTTTTGACGTTAGACAAAGTGATGTCATTTGGTGTTAGACAGAGCAAAAACTAACAGCACGTAAGGCGCATTGGAGAGCAATTCAGTTAAATGGGTGAAACATGCACATTTGTTTATCGAGAGACTAATTCAAATACCTTGCATTTTGGATGCATTTCATCAATTGAAATCAATTGGTTATCAATTTGTTCAACTATTCTTCCACTAACGGTTCCATGACAATCATTGCTCAGCAAGATTTTTGACCTCTCCTAATAAGAAAATGGAAATGAGAAAATAGATCTTATAATTCATGCCAAAACATAATTGTACTCGATTAACAACGGTGAACGGGTTGACTTACTACTCCGTATCAAAATCCCAGTCCTAACTAAACTAAGCTAAACTAAACTAACTTTATTTATATTGGATAGCTTTATCAGTTCTAAAATGTTCTTCCTAGAGATCCAGTAAGGATCATGTCTTATTGATCCAGTGTTACTACAGGAGGAAATCTAAACTAAACTAACTTTATTTATATTGGATAGCTTTATCAGTTCTAAAATGTTCTTCCGAGAGGTCCAGTAAGGATCATGTCTTATTGATCCAGTGTTACTACAGGCGGAAACCTAAACTAAACTAACTTTGTTTATACTGGATAGCTCTATCAGTTCTAAACTGTTCTGCCTAGAGGTCCAGTAAGAATCATCTCTTATTGATCCAGTGTTACTACAGAAGGAAACCTAAACTAAACTAACTTTATTTATACTGGATAGTTAGTTCTTAGATATTAGTTCTATCAATTCTCGATATGAAAGTCACAGACTAACAAACATACGGTCACACTTTAGGTCGTTTTATGGACAAAGTGAAAGGCAAGAAAGACGGGAAGAAAGGTGATCGGCCAGCAAGCAGTATCGATGTCATGTTGGAAAATTCCGAGGAACCACAAAAACGTAGTTCTACCATGCCAGTGACTAGCAACACTAAAAAACCTGGATTAATGAAAAACAAAGCAAAGACTATGAGCGCAGACGAACTGAGTAAAGACGCCAGTACTGATGACTTGGACGGTAAGAAAACATTGATTTACTCGAATGAGCAGCACGCAATGAAATCGACAGAGCACGATCATCTCATCATCATCACAAAATTATGCTTCGTTCGAACGCAAATTTCACATTCATTTCTCAGAAATCGTTTACAACAAATATATTTCTCACAGCGGTTATTTTCAAGAGGAGAATCTTTTGTATGTTTCGTAACACGCGCTCAAAATTAATGAATATACTCTTTCACTTGGTTATAACTATATTCAAATTTTTAAACTTTTGATACGTTTTCCAACCGGCAAACAAGCTTAAAAAGTATGTTTAGTGCTTTATCTGTAAAATTATGCTAAAATGAAGAGATTTTAGATGGTACGCCAAAGAGAAAATCATGTCTGAAGTTCAGTAAGTTTTGCTTATATTGCTGTATAAATATACGGCGTATACACTTTGCATCGCAAATACGTTAAAAAATTGCCTCTTATACATCATCATAGGAATCGCTATTATAACTAATTAATTATCATTACATCACCATACGTAAGATAATTACCAGTATCATTATAACCATCACATTACCAACTTAATATAACCATAATCATTACTGTCACTTTTGGTTCTGTTATCCGCACTGCATCATTATCCATAACCACTAATATCATTATCTTGTCATCCTTATATGAGTTAATAAACCCTTGTCGATCAACATCATGTCATCAATAAACCCTTATTGATCATGATCATCATCATCAATGAACCTTATTGATCATGATCATGATCATTGATAATTCTTACTGATCATAATTATTATACCCTTCAGTAACCTTTATTAATTGTCATGTTTTCATCAATAAACCCTTATCGATCACCACCAATAACCCCTCATTGATGATGATAATCAATAATCCTTACTGATCATAATCATCACATTCAGTAACCTATACTAATTGTCATGTTATCATCAATAAACCATTATCGATCACCATCAATAACCACTCATTGATCATGATAATCAATAACCCTTACTGATCATAATCATTATCACATTCAGTAACCTTTACTAATTGTCATGTTATCATCAATAAACCATTATCGATCACCATCAATAACCACTCATTGATCATGATAATCAATAATCCTTACTGATCGTTATCAATAAACCCCTTATACCATAAACCATACCTCAAACATTTCAACAAATTTAATAAATTTCCAGGTCCTGCACCCTCAAGCCCGAAAGACAAGGAAGCAAAGAAACGAGAGAAAGGCATGTTTGGCACAGCAGGGAAAAAAACTGGCGCTAAATTACGGCATAAACGTGGCAAAAATAAAGCAACGGATGATGATGGTTCTAAATTAACATCACAAACTTCAGCGACATCTTTGCCTTCATCGCCTGCTGATGATGAAATAGATGATCAAGGTAGGAACAAATGCCTTGTTTACAAAATAGATAGCTCCGTTGTAAACTATCCGATTGCCCGTATTAGAGAGGACTAGAGGAGTCCATATTGGAGAGGTGCCCATATTAGAGAGGTGCCTGTTTTAAAGAGGTGTCTGTATTAGAGAGGTGTCCGTATTAGAGATGTTTGTATTAGAGAGATGTCTGTATTAGCATAGTTAATAGAGGAGATGGTTTGGAAACTTATTAGCATTACAATAAACCTCACTATCTATGTTTTTGTTCAGGTTTATGCAAAAATGTGGTCTTTCATCGTCACGTGCGTATTGTATTTTTGCTCAACCAGCCAATAGCAACGGTTTTGTCCAATTTCCCATCCATGACTTTAACAATAGGACATTTTGAACATTCCTATTGGTTGACTTGAGAAAAATACAATACGCACGTGACGATGAAAGACCACATTTTTGCATAAACCTGAACAACATAGATAATGAGGTTTATTGTGATTTTATTGTAATGCTAACGAGTTTCCAAACCATCTCCTCTATTAACTATGGTATTAGGGAGGTGTCTGTATTAGAGAGGTGTCTGTATTAGAGAGTTGTCTGTATTAGAGAGGTGTTTGTATTAGAGAGGTGTCTGTATTTGAGAGGTGTCTGTATTAGAGAGATGTCTGTATTAGAGAAATGCCTGTATTAGAGAGATGTCTGTATTAGAGAGATGTCTGTATTAGAGAGATGTCTGTATTAGAGAGATGTCTGTATTAGAGAGATGTCTGTATTAGAGAGGTGTCTGTATTAGAGAGGTGTCTGTATTAGAGAGATGTTTGTATTAGAGAGATGTCTGTATTAGGGAGGTGTCTGTATTAGAGAGGTGTCTGTATTAGAGAGTTGTCCGTATTAGAGAGGTGTTTGTATTAGAGAGGTGTCTGTATTTGAGAGGTGTCTGTATTGGGGAGGTGCCCCTATTAGAGATAAGTCCATATTAGAGGGAAGACCGTATTGAAGAGGTGTCCGTATTATATTAGAGAGGTTTCCGTAAGGACAGGTGTCTGCCATAACAATGTATATAAATGAATACTAAAACATATTAATGATTTCCAGACATGTATGTAACACCAGTGGACAATCAACTTTCCACTTCATCTCCATCGACATCGTTCTTTGACAGAGAACTTCCACAACTGCCTCCGGAAGAGTCTCGAAAGCCGAGCGCTTTCTCAATCCCTGAAATACCTTACGATGACGACGATCTCTACGACGAGATCAATCCGATCGCTAAGAAAGCATTCAAAATACCCAAAGACCTCGCCAAACTAAGCACGAACGATATCTCAGAGGTTCTACGTTCGCTTAACATGGGCGAACACGTGTCGAAGTTTCGAAATGAGCAGATTGACGGTGAGATATTTAAATCATTGGATGACAAAACTCTAGGAGCGCTGGGCGTGATTGACCCGGTACAGAAATTAAAGATTAAGAAACTGTTGAAAGGCTGGAGGCCTAAAACTTGAGCTATTATTTAATGGGAATTGTAACAGAACTGCAATGGTTTTGTTGATATTGAAGGTGATTATATTTATGCAGGTGGGTTTCAATGAGCATTTACAGCAGCAGATGATTGTCAAGTAAGGCGTAGCCACAGGGGGGGAGGGAGAGAATGGGGGTCTGGATCCCCCCTCACCTTTCGTCAGGACCAATTTTATAATTCCTGCAAAATTGAGGAGAAACTGGGGGAGTATGTGCCCAGGTGTAACACCTTAATAGATAGCTTAAGATCTACGACGTCGACGCCAGCTAGGACGTCAGGGCTAAGCAGAGGACTGGGACTACATTACAACGACATCCTAGTCCCAGTCCTCTGCATAGCCCTGACATCCTAGCTGACGTCGACTTCGTAGATCTTAACCATTATAAACCAAATATGTGGCTTTCAGATTATCATAAATAGCATTTTGCAGAACCTAAAACTAGTACAATTTTCCTGAGGACAAATGCCCCCAGACAGCCATGAAAATTGGTGGGGGTGGCAGGGGGGCAACCCCAATAATTTCTGAAATCCTGTGAATGGTAGCAGAATAACTATATAACTAAGTTGTAACAATAATTTTTCAACCATGAAAGCGTTACTGGGCTAGAAGTTAAGCTATATATTGCATGAATTTTTAAGGAAAAAAACTTTAAAAAACTTTGACCACCGATCTGCTATACGGTAGTGCTTAATGAAACTCGCCTATTTTGTATGAATTAGTCTTGCATACTACAATACACTTTTACAACTGAAATTAAACAATATTTCACTAGATTGATTAGACTTGAATTCCTATGGTTAATTGGACTCCAATGAGTCGAAATTCTAAGTGTAATAATGACCCTAGCTACACTATAATGTCCATGGAACGGAGGTTGATAATATTGAACCCCCAATATCAGACACTGTTTCTAGTTTTTAATTATGGGTGTTTATAATCATATTTAACTTTGTTGACAATCACTTCATTAGCAACACTAATATTAGGGAATGGGTGGGAATTAAATTATTTGAATAGTGTAAGAATTTAGATAATCTTTCATAGTTGTTTCATGTCATTTTGAAGCAAAAAGGGACAACGCCAAGCATAGTGAAGTCAGATCTGAATATTTTTCAAAAGTTGATGTTGCTTGCCTGAAAACATACTGCCGCAAATGTTGTGGGAAATTAATTGACACACAACATGTAGTCTGCTTTTGAAAGATAGCAAAACATTTATCACAAAAAAGTAAGCCACATTGAAACTACATTCTAACATATTGGAATCATGTTATTGATTAACTGAAAAAAACAATAGGGCCATTTATACAAGCGAAAATAAGCTGCGGCTTAAATAAGTCGGAACAATTCGTATAAACAGTCAATTTGCAATAAACCACAGCTAAAATAACCCCAGAGTTGGAAGCAAGGCCTAAATAAGCCGCGGCTTATTGTAAATTGACTGTTTATATGAGTTGCCCGCAACCTAGCCAAAAAACAGAAAAGAAAAAAATTGGAAAAAACTGATTGAAACCCGCAATACAGCAATTTTGACAACACCTTGTCAAAATCATGGTGCTAGTTCAACATTTTCTCACCAAACTTTCAACTTTTAAAGTATATTATATGCAGTATATTTTGGGATAAGTTATAAACAGTCGCAGTCACCACTTGCGAACTATTTTCTTGCACCCAAAAATTTTACCATATTAAATGCAAAGCTATGGTCTGACTTTATTATGTATCTATGCAAATACACCCTTTAGAAGCATATTTGCAGTTTTAAATTGAGTAACTTTGACTATAGTTGAATTTCAAATTACTGATAATATAATAATTTTTAATGGTTTTTTGTATAGTAATGAAAAAGTTTTACATTTAATTTGCTTGTATATATTATATTTTCTCATACCCTAGAATGCATTGCGTTTGAAATTCAACTTGTAAAGTTTCTAGAAATAAATTCCACTCCACACCAAATCATTTGTATTTGACGTTTAATATTTTTATCCAATTATTATATTAAAATCACCCTTCGCATGTAACTTTGAGAAACGTTTGTGTCGTCTTTAAATCCCTTTAGATAAACTTGATGCCTTTAATTAATAAATTTTCTTACCACTGGCACAATGCCACAATGCGGCTATACTAAACTTGTTTTGAAGGGCTTTTGCTTACCTATTTCTCGCTTGCAAAAGCACTTTGTGAAGATATTGCTATCCCTTAAGGAACATCATTCTTTTCTTGCAAAAAGTTATGAAAAATGTGTTTTTTCTTCACTTTTACAACACTTTTTTTCAAATTTCCCACTTTGGCGACCATCTTGATTCTTGACAGCTATTTTTACCACAGCAACCCAAGCTTGTCATTTGATAAATTATTAGAAAAAATAAAGTGACAGACAAGTCCGTTCTGGGCATGCGCGTGTTTATTTGCATAATTTGTTAATTGACCTTAATTCATTTTACAGGAAAATTTGCTCACAACGTCTTGTTTATTTTCATTGAACAAATAAATTATAAATTTATTTACAAGTATTTACATTTAAAAATCTTGCTAGTTTTTAACTAATAATTTATGGTTAGTTTTTCAACTTTAACTGTTTTACTGTAATCTTTTGACTTGATACCCCAAATTATAAACCCTAATTGTGCCAATTGTAGCTCAAGCCACCAGATCAAAACCCTTAATTGAATTCTCATAAAACATTACCTGAAAGTTTAAGCTTTCTTGATATATATTTGCACAACCCCAAATTTATATGTAATTATTTTAAGACTATTCAATCAATCAAATCTAACAGTAAATCTAACCCTAAGCCCCAACTCTAAAACCAAATGCCGAAATGCGTGATATATGGAAGAGCCGAGTCTTTATAAGTGCTCAAATTTGAGTATGCCTCAGTATGGTTTTGGAATCGCCCTGTCCTGTGGGAATAGATTGATCAAGTAGAGTCAAACCAGTGCGTGGCTGCAAAATAACATCAGAAGAAACGAATCCTATTATTAAACCAATCAGAAACGACAATTTCGCCTGCCGAAGTTAGCGCAATGCCGGAGGCAAACAACAGCCGGGATGGACAAGCTCGTGTAGAGGAAAAAGCTCGTAGGAACCGGCCATCCGGGGTAAAAACTCGTGCACTACAACTACTTTTTGCACCAACCACAACGTAACCTCGAGAATCGACCGCTATGCCGGACAAATGGTCCACATTGTCTTGGAATCCGTGAATTTCTTTGGCGGAGATTTTCCTGAGGTAACTTCCATCACGGCGGAATATTTGAACTCTCATGTTTATCTCGTCTGAGACATACATGTTGTCGTCCTTGTCAACGGCTACAAAGTTTGGGCAGCTTATTTCACCATCCCATTTCCCAAGTTTGCCAAACGTGAACTGGAATTCTCCCTCGGTGTTGAACACTTGTACTCTGTTGTTGCCTGCATGGGAAACGAGATCAGAACCCGAATTAGAAATTTGAAATTCATTGACGGACGTTTCCTAGCCATGTTTCCCGATGGTGGGCAACTTGGAAACATTGTTTCCTAGCCATGTTCCCTGAAGGTGGACAAACCAGGAAACATTGTTTCCTAGCCATGTTTCCTGAAGGTGGACAAACCAGGAAACATTGTTTCCTAGCCATGTTTGCCGAAGATTTCACGATGGTGGGCAAACCAGGAAACATTGTTTCCTAGCCATGTTTCCCGAAGGTGGACAAACAAGGGAACATTGTTTCCTAGCCATGTTTCCCGAAGGTGGTCAAATCAGGAAACATTGTTTCCCAGCCATGTTTCCCGAAGGTGGTCAAACCAGGATACAATGTTTCCTAGTCATGTTTCCCGGAGATACGCAACCTCATTGTCCTCACCCTGAACAACGTTAACTATAGTTTCAAGTCGAGACCTACCTTGATCAACCACGACAATGCGATTCGCGCTATCAACAGCTACCCCCATTGGTCTCCAAAATTGTCCATGGCCACGCCCTTCAGTACCAAACGTGCTTATGAAAACTCCTTCACTCGTGAATAGTTGAATACGATTATTCAAACAGTCGCACACAACAATGGAGCCATCATGAAGTACTGAGACGCCAGTGGGACCGTTGAACTGGACCAGGACCGCAGCCGCGTGTGC